ATTTAACGATATGCCCTCCCCAGGAGTCATACTAACTACAGCTAGGCAAATTTCCCGCTGGTGATCCCACTAAATGTCTACAGAAATTCATTCCGGGAATTTTTTTACTGCTATATGTATATCAAGTCTTTCTAAAAAAAAACCTAATACAGTTTGTTTCCAGATGTCTGTCCTGCAGCATGTTACTGACCTCAAGACAAACAAGGATGATTGTTTTTACTATACTTTGTTTTTGTCAAACATGTTGTACGGAATAGAGTTCTGGGGCAGCTGCCAAAACCATTTAAAATTCTGAAAACTTTACTCTTAATAAAAAAAAATCTGGAATTTTATTTGAATGAAAACTGTAATCACGATTATTTAACAAGACATCGAAACAGTTTAATGAGTTTAACGACATAATGAGTACTTAAGTTTGCTGCTACAGGGGATGTTATGAGGTGCGTTTTTTATGAAAATGTAATAGCTTGGTGTGATATATTTTTAGAAATTTGATCAATATATATCCATAAAAAAAACAAACTACAAACGTTTATTTGTCCTCCATAAAATAAAATGAGCATTTAAAATTTACAGTAAAAAAAAAAAAAAAATTCTCCGTAACTATTCATTGTCACACAACACTCCAATGTACTAAATTACTTGTTTTTTTTATAGCTCTACTTAATGATTTAGAAAGAAATTGCAAAATATTATGTTTTGAGGGTCAAAAATGGGAAAATAGTAATTTCTGAAACTAGTGTGCAAAAAAAGGCAATTTGCTGCACATGAGAGAAATGTTTACTGCAGGCATGTGTGCATGTGAGCTGCAGGCGAGTGTGGAAAGTTTCTCGAGTGCAGCAAAGGCACTTTGCGCTAGTGTTACACATTGTATTTTTCCTTCAGTTACTATAAAGCATAGAAATAATTAGTCTTTCAAATATTTAACAATGCATTTTAGGTTAGGTTAAATCCAATTGTTGAACAAAATGGGAAACACTGGAACAGCTGATCGTAGTCGTAGAATCTTAATTTCAAGCGTATATGTATTAATTGCCTAATAAAGGCACACCGTTTTGTGTTGTTTGGTTGGAATACTGGAATGCGGCCAAAAAAATTAGTGCGTGAAAAGTAAAAATGAGTCGGGCAAAAGTAGGTAAATGCAGCATCAGTGGAACCTTGATAAGAAGACCCTCGACAACAAGTCGCCCTTGATAACAAGTGTCATTTTCAAATACCCTTAAAATTATTTTACCCCTAATCACATGTTATTACAAACCTCGATAAGAAGTCAACCTTGATAACAAGTCTTATTTTAAAATCCCCTCGAGAGTCTTGTTATCAAGGTTCTACTGTAAATACTTTGCGTGCTATAATCAGTACAAGAAAGCCCACTTTGTCAAGTAACTGTAGGAAATAGTTATTTGTGTAAGTGGCACTTTAACAAAAGTTTTTGGTGTTAAGTGACTTATTTGTGGGGCGATGTGGCACTTTGCTGCACGAGAGAGCAATGTTAACTCACGAGCTGTAAGCGAGTGTGGAAAGTTTTTGAGTGCAGCAAAGGCAGTTTGCACTCGTGTTACACTTTATATTTTTCCTGAAGTTACTATAAATAATATAAATACTTAGTCTTTTAAACACTGTACAACACGTTTTTAGGTTAGGTTAAATCCAAACATTGAACAAAATGGGAAACGCTGCACCAGCTGATCGTAGTTGTAATATCTTTAAGTGTTGCCAACCTATTTCCAAGCGTACACGGATTAAGTGCATAATAGCATGCTGTTTTGTGTTGTTTGGTTGGAATATTGGTGTGTGGCAAAAAAAAAAAAAAAAAAAAACTGCTACAAAGTAAAAAGTGTGCGGCAAAGTAAGTAAATGCAGCAATTAGAAGCTTTCTGTACTATAATCAGTGCAAGGAAGCCCACTTTGTCGGGTGACTGTAGGAAAAAACCATTTTAACCGAAAAACCCCGTTCCCATTGTCCAATCATGCTGGCTTGCAAACTTGTTAGAATATAGGCGTGTTTGACTACCTCACACTCATTTTTATATATAGGGCCTATATATATATGAATTTGAACGGATGGTGTTTTTGGCCTCTGGGGACATCAAAACAAAAAAGTAAAATGGTCCCGGGTCTAGGTCTTACCATGAAACTTACTGTATTAGCTTATTCCCAATATGGGAAATTTGCTAAAAGGTAGGCCTGTACTCTAAATGTCTCCAATCTCTGCAAGAACGACTGTGTCAAATTTATTGTTTGTTGGTTATGTTACCAACATAACAATGGTTAAAATAACCCCGTCGCAGCAAACCTGCAGACTAAGCGAATTTCCATTGGCCTTGATTTGATTTTCAATTACATCTATTCAAATAACATTAGGTTTTACGAGTACCTAGGTTTGCTGCCTACAGGAAGGGTAATAAAGTGTTTTTTTAGTAAAATATTACAGTAATAGCTTAGTATAAAATAAATAGATTTGCCAGGTTCCATCCAAATATATCCATAAACAAGCAAACTACAACAGTTTACTTATTCTCCAAAAGAATATCATGGGATTTTTTTAATTTACAATTTTCTCCGTAACCAATAATCATACAGAAATCTTCAATATACTAAATTATTTGTTTTTTAAGCTCTTCAAAATGGTCTAGAGAAAATTTGGTAAATTTTAAGTTTTGAGGGTCAAAAACGAGAAAAACCAATTTTTACCCCATAAATCCCCCCATAAAACCCTGTTCCCATGGTCCAATCATGCTGGTTCGCGAACTCGTTCAAATAAACGTAGGTTTACACGTTTGTACCAAATTTAATCGAAATCAGATCATTTTTGCTTGAGTTATCATGCTAACGGACACATATATATTTATGAATTTGAACGGATGGTGTTTTTGGCTTCTAGGGACATCAAAATTAAATCGGTCCCGGGTCCAAGTCTTACTATGAGACCTACGGTAATAGCTTATTCCCTATATGGGAAATTCGTTAAAAAGGGTTGATATTTTATATTCTAATTTTGTCACATACAATGTATACAAAGAATAACTTTGATTAAAAGTTAAAAACCTATGGTGAAATAAAGAAACTTTCCATCTATATTAAATCCAATGTATGTATGTTTGTTTGTTTGTTTTTTTGTTTGTCCTTTATGGACTCCGAAACCGCTTGACAGATTGTAATGAAACATTCAGGCATTATTAAGCATTATTCAAGGATGGTTTGTGTGAAGTTTGGTGCAGATCCGTCAAAAGGGCTCCGCCCCAGTGGCTCTGGGGTTTCCCATGCTAATCTTATGAGTACTCATATTTAAATGGAATTAAAGAATCTTAACAGCTGGTTCAACTAAACAATTTGATTCTGTGATGTTCAATAGCATTAAAAAGTTAATATGTTTACCAACAGGGTGCAGCACTATTATTTTTTTTAAATTTATAACAACAGCTAATTTGCAACCAAAAGGTAAGTGAGCGTAGTGAACGAACTTAAACCAGGAGGCGAGTTAGCGTAGCGAACGAGCTAACCTGAAGGCAAGTGAGCGCAGCGAACGAGCTCCAACCTAAAGGTGAGTGAGCGTAGCGAACGATCTTCAACCAGGACGTGATTGAGCCATGCGAACGAGTTCATCTTGAAAATGAACGAGCATTTGACATAAAACCACATTAGGACAGGACGACGTCTGTCGGGCCAGCTAGTATGTTATGAAAATAAGTTAATAAACAATGTGCAACAATTAATTTACCCTCAATAACAATAACTAGTGTACATGTTGCTCGTATTCGAGCAATTGCAAAGTGCCTATTACAGGAGTTATTTGAAAGCGAATAACATTCTTATTTACAATGAGTTTAAAAGAGTCAACTCAAAGATTACCAGTGTGTATAACTATAACTCAGACCATGTTTATCTTCGTTATTGATAAACCTAAAGCATTCCGGCCGGTTTTCTCCTTCTCAAAATGCCTCGCTGTACAGGCAACACAGGTCATTGATAGAGGGCCAATTGAGAACAAAAAGTCGTTTTAGGGTAGTGTTAGGGCGCATTTGTAACCTAATAGTTGAGTTTGTCCAGGGTCAGTTGCTGACTGTGATAAGTTAAACCTATTACGCGCTACTGTTCTGTAGCTGCGGTAGTTATCACGATTACACCTCCTGTCTATGTTTCGTTGTCGTTGCGTCGGAGGCATTTAAAAGAGAAAAAAACAACAAATAAACAAACTATAGCTACTAACAATGAGAAATGCACAAATTTAAATTACAATCTTACTAACACGATCCGTCATAGTGACACAAAACAACGATAAATACACAAATTTAAGATACAACCATACTAACACGATCCTTATTGGGGGTTATGTTTACACAAACTCAAATAGTAAATAATTGTACACAATGCGTTTCATTGAATTGAAAAATAAATAACAGCAATTAAATTATACAGCTGATCAAAATGTAAACAATTATGTTCTTCATAAGGATAACATGGGAACTTTCAAAGCCACTGGGGCAGAGCCCAAGGGACTTTTTCAAAAATGTAAGGCCAGTTTGCAAATCTACGCAACACGCTCTTTCCAATGAGACGTCAATGGATAAAATCGGTTAAGAAATGGCGGAGAAGTTCAACCGACAAAGTTTCATGTAGCGTATTAATTATATAGATAAGGAAGATAATTACTTTGTTTAGCACTTGCATTATCTCAGTAATAATAACTCGTGGAATGATAGGCCTACTTAATAATTTGCATTTTTAAGCACATGTTAATGACAAACAAATAAGTTTCCAAAACACGAACAAAAAAAGAAAAATATGAGTTTCAAGTAATGTAAACTGTTTTTGGTTATACACGGGCTATTTTTTCTCAATCTCTAATTGTTCAGTAGACACACTTGGCATGCACAGAAAGTAACAAGTAAACTCCTGCAATACAGAGTCAAATGGGCCACACTATTTTCATTATAAACAATCTTTGTTTCAGCTCACTATGTTTGAATAAATTATATTCACTATTTTTTTGTACTGACATGGGCCCATCAGCTATCATGGTACAGAGCCTGTTCATATCCTGCACGAACATGTCGAGGCGAGGGTAGGCATACGGCAGAGCTTCCCCATTGTCCAAGGCAGTCTTATCTTTGTATACCTGCACAATACATTACATTACAAATGTAAACCTTGTTTAGTTTTTCACTATCTGTCAATATTTGATCAATAACAAAATAATAAACAGCAAATTATGTGAGTTCTGTCACATTTATTTCAGTAGGTAATATTATTGTGTCTTTTTAATGACACCATGCATTCCAAAAGTACAATGGTGTGATAAATACCATCAACTCTTGTGATGTTACCTAGCCTCTGTGCTACTCCCATCATTATCAACCGTGGCATTTTAACAGTATTTTGGTGTTCTCATTAAATCCCCAAGTCCGCTACAAACATTACACCACTGGTATTGAGTGTATCAAGAATCAGAATTGGCTAATCTTTAATCTGATCATATTTATTGAACAGTTTTCATTCATCTTACATTAATTTTTGAGGGCATCAATATGACCAATTCGCCTCAGTCACCTTGCTGTGTTATGTTAGTTTCATTATCAATGCTCTTGTACATTTGTATTAAATTAAAGAAGTTAAAAATTAGTGATAAAATTGATACTACATACATGTGATAATAGTAGTTTACGCAACGATTGCGTTAAGTGAGTCTTTACGACACGAGTAGAAAATTTAAGGCACGAGCCTTGGCGAGTGCCTTAAAAACTTCTACGAGTGTCGTAAAGACTATGAACGCGAGTTGCGTACACTACTTTACCTACGACCGTTTTTTAATTACTATCAATCTGGATTTAATTACTAACAATCACTACTGATAACTTTTTAGAGAGGTTATGTTTTCGTGTATTGTCATTGCCACTGAAAGTGATGCAACGACTTGTTGTATAATCAGCTGATTTCCTGTAATTACGTGTTTGTTAAACTTCGTTAAATATTACATTGCTAGCAGCATTCTTACCATAAATAATATTGTATCAGGTACAATTCGGCAAATATTTAATTTATTTTTGGACTTCCACCAACTTAATTAAGAATACGCGAGTATCAACATGAACAAGTCGGATCAACAATTAAATTTGTCAACTGATCAGCTGATCAGCTGATTAGTTGACGTTCGAAGCATTACAATTTTAATTCTTTTCTCTCAATACTTGAACCTCATTGGTCCGTTACCTGTGTGGATATGAGAAAACTATGCGGATATGAAATGAAACTATGCGGATATGAAAGTAAACAGCTGTAAAGTGAAACTTTTCAATTCTAAGAACTGGACTGAAATGGCTACTTTAAAAAACGGTCGTAGGTAAAGTAAATTTTACTCAAAACAACCGTAATCCATTGTGAAGTCACACTTGAAAATCAAAACAGCCACCAGGTAAAATATCTATTTATTTATACTTTCCACTCCAACCTTTTGGTTTGATACTGACATCCGGTCCATACCCTGGTATCTTACCTGGTAGACGCCTCTTAGAGGTTGTATGATGTATCCCTTGGTCGCAGGAATCTCACACTCCCAAGGGCTTGTAGTGCTGGGGGGAGCATGCACAGGGTGGTCTGCAAGTTTATACCAAAACAACTATTAGAATCTACACAAAATACTTCACTCTTTGATATAATAGGTAGGGCCCATTTGTCATATATTTTGGAAGAAATATGTACCTATTTATAAAATATTAAAACGTAAAAAACTATATTTTATGGATGGGTCAATATTCACAAAGCCAATAGTTCAAACACAGGTTACACAAAGAAAAATAATCCTTACTTTATATTAACGTTATAATTTTTATTTAATTTTATAATTTATAATAATAGTGAATTTTGATTTTTAACATGGGTCCATAAAGTTTCAAGCAGGAAATTATCTAAAGAATCTAGAGCTGCAACATAGAAATTATTTGGCCTAATGTAAATTTTATATGCTTATTAATAGTCCAATCATATAAGGAATTTCCTTTTTCCTCAGTGGGTTTTTATGTATTTTTCCCCCACTAAATCCGATTTTAAACTTTCCCACACCGCTAGAGGTGAGCTAACTTCAGAAATCGCAAAAAAAATACTGCACTTGTTTGATTTTTTTGCTTATAACTCACAAACAGAGTATTTAGGGCCGTCGCGCACTATCCCGACCACGACCACGACTTAACGCCCGACCAGTCGTTGTCGTTCACCATGCGACCAGAGCACAACCCGACCAAGGGAAGAATGTTATATCATAGATGAAGTAGTATAAATATATGGTGATTATTTATTCTATGGTTAAGCCTATGTCCCACGGAGCGTTGCGCGGCACGCACAGCGCGAGGAGTGCCACGCCTCGCGTCGTGGGACAGGGTAGGCGCGTGGTGCTACGCGCAAGAGTGGCGCGGAGCGGGGTTGCGCGTCTGTTCCCGTGAGTTGTCGGTAAACATCAAAGGCGCGGGTTGGAGCGTGGACGCCCTGGGCCAGTATGAGACGTTTTTCCACTGGGTGAACAGGTGTCACGTTGAACTTGCATTTATTCAGCAATTGTTGGTGCGAAACTTTTGTTGTATGCATCCATCCACCAACGCCTCTCTTTTTTCTTTGAAATCAATTTTAACTTAAAATATTCGCCACTCAACAATAGATAACAAGCTGCGGCGCACGCTAATTCACCGTCACTTTCCGAATCACTCATCATTCAATCACACAGATCTTTACAAATACAGTGTAGCACGGAGGTCTCTATGAGGTTTTAACACTATCCACTACGGCCACTAGACGGCGTGTGTCGCGGTGCGACACGCGCCGTGGGACAGGTCTTGCGCGGACCTAAACACGCACAGACGCTCCAGCCCGCGCATTTTCACCGTCGCGTGGAGCGCCGCGCAACGCGTCGTGGGACATAGGCTTTATACAAACTTCAATATGGATGTTGAAGAAGTAGTTGCTGTTGTGCATTTGTATTGTAGGTACGTAAAGCGGAAGAAGAAACAATACTGGGAACATCCAATGTTAACTGTCAGGTATACAAAAGGGCAGTTCGCAACATTTTATGAAGAGCTACACGTCAATATGAAGACAGGTTTTTTTTTTAATTACACAAGAATGTCTGTTAAAAGCTTTGATGACTTACATAGAAAAGTTGCTGGTGAAATCAGGGGACAAAACACTTCATTGAGACAGAGTATAGGAAGTGAAGAAAAACTGTGTATATGAGTGGTGTACTGGTCGGGTCAGAGGCAAGTCGTGGGTAGTGAGCGTCATCTCATTACATTGTGTGCTATTTTTGGCTGCAACGACCAGCGGGTCGGGCCCGACCAAACTGGAAAACTTTGGTCGTGCGACCAGGGTCCGACCAGTCGACCAGTGCCGCTGTTCCATTTATTCCTATTGTAAAACTGGTCGTATCCGACCAGTCGGAGTCGTGGTCGTGGTCGGGATAGTGTGCGCCGGCCCTTAGAATAGGAAATTTAGTGTACATTAATTTAGTATATAACGGTTAATACAAAAAGATACTCCGTTCGTGAGTTGTAAGAACAAAAGTAAAAAAATACGGTATTTTTTGGGGGATTTCCTGAGTTAGGTCACTTCTAGCGAGTTGGTAAAGTTTAAAATCAGATTCAGCACCTAAAAATACATAAAAAACCGCTGAGCCAAAAACTTCAGGAATTTTTTCCTGAAAACATAATCTTTTTTTATATGCTTGGACTATTGAACCAGAAAACAATACAAACTTTTTTTTTAGTTTTTTTGTTAATTGAAATTATGTTTTAGATATTTAGGGTATTATGAAAAAATGTTATGGTGCAGGATTATTAAAAAAAAGGAAAAAAATTGAGCTCTCAATGAAGATTGGAAATATAATTCATAGTTTATAAATTACATATAAATTAATACATTAATGATTATGCAATGTATTTGTGAATAGCATTTTTTAACTATTCTATCACAAATTGTTGCAACAAAAAATTGTGAAAAACTCATATGGTTAGGATAACATACATAAAACTTTCAATTCAACAGCATAAAACAAACATTATCATTACTTGTTCAAAAATTAGTAGTAGCATAATCTTTAAAACATTCTGGAGGACTCGTTGTTATTCAAAACAGACTGGCACAGTTTCAAAAACATTATGTCAAAGTACTTTCAGACCACAAAAGTTATACATTTATAATTGACCATAGTAATGGGGTCTTTAGTGTCTTCAATAATTTATTTAGGATAGTGTTCTAAGGGTTTTTCATTGTTTTATTCACTTCACAGAGCATTACTTGCTAAAACTTTATTCTTATACTTGAATAATGGATTTATGATTTAAATTATGATTTTTACAACAAAGTATAAAACTGCAAAATTTTAGGTTAACAGTTCATCAGATTTTTGCAAGTTTGATATTACAGTACAACCCCGCTAATGTTTCACCTACGGGAATGGAACCACGGTCGGAACAGTGAAAAGTATAGATTATCAGAGGAAAATTTTTTCCAAGACCGCAGAATTTGTCTAGTATTTTGCGACGACTGCGGAGGACAATTATAATGTTCCTGTGACCATGAGACGTGCACTATTTTGCTACGGCCGTAGGAGATAATGTTTCTGTGATCGCGGGAGATGATGATGATGTTTCTGTTACTGCAGGAGATACTCAGGAATTTGAGGCAATGGCAGATAACAACGATAATGTTTCTGTGATCGCGGGAGATGATGATGTTTTCGTGACCGCAGGAGTTGTCCTAGATTTGGTTGCAGGGGATGACCATTACATTTCTGTAATCTCGGAAGACGATGATGTTTCTGTGACCGCAGGGGATAAACAAGAGTTTTGCCTGAGTTGAGGGAGCAGTGATGATCCACATGGCCACTGGATATGGTCATGTTACTACCTCAATAACATTATCTTCGACAGGCGATGAGACATTTGGATTAGCGGGGTTCTACTGTATTCACATCTGAATTGCTACCCTGCCTAAGGTTAACAGTTTCATCCTTATCAGACTGTAACCTAATTCTACATATAATTAGAAAAATTAATTTTAAGAAATCATTTAAACTTTAAATAGTATTGCAGTTGGTAATATAATGAGTTAAATTGTACGACAGATGTTATCTAAAACTACTTATGATTTTGCTAATTTTGCTAAATAACTTATGTATGATAGTATAACTAAATAAAACTTCATATAGAGTGCTGAAATTGGCATAAAAGGCTGTGAGTAAAAAGCATAAATTATTTAGTAATAGGAATTCAGGAAAAGGAGTTAATATTTAAATTCTATGACCTAAAAATATATTTGAAATATTACTTTAGAGTTTTGTAGCTTGTAAAATTTTAGCAACCCCTCCCCCAATATTATGCAGAGTAACTTTACCTGACCTTTGAGGGAGGGGGTGAAAACAATAAAATTGCACTTCTTTAGAGCTATTGTATAACAATTTTACATTTTCACACCATTGATCATAAAATATAAATTTTACCACTTATTTTCACATGACGCTTAGTATCAATCTGTGTCTGAGGTTGGCATGATTAAATATTAACACAATCTAAATTTTTTTTCCAAATTTAAATGCTAATTAAGAAAAAAAATCAGGGTCACCTATCAAACTTCAGTTTAAAGACGGGGTTTCAGTTACATTTACACATAGTTAGTAGGGTCAAGAGGCTGTCAGACCTTATAGGACACCACAGAAAAGTCAACAGCCATAATGCAACTGTTTCAAGTTGGGTGATGTAGCCACAGCACACTAAGCACCGTGGAGCCTTATCACCAACATAATATTAATATTCCATTTGACGGTTTCCTTAATTTCCTTAGACCCTTCTGTACTTGTATTCCTTTTTTTCTGGCTGAAATTCAATAACTTCTGAATATTTTCTGGACAAGCGTCTAGCAAAGTTAAGGTGATTGCAGAAGACTATCGTGCTGAGAAAAATCATGCTGTAAAGTTTGCACGATCAAAAATTCACATGTCGCCGTGATTTGAGGTGATGACCATGATGTCGCCACCATGATCGCGAATGAATCTGCAATCGGTATCAATATGAAAGACTAAGTATTGTGATTCAACAATCCCTTGATACTATAATAGGTATCAAAGGTTTTGAGGAACAGGATATGAATAACTTTTAAGTTAAATCACAAAACTCATGGCTCAATAATAGTTTTGTGGTTTTCACAGTTGAGTGGGTACCCTGATAAATGTGCTTATTCTATTTATTGTTATTGAGATCAATATTTATTCACCTCCACCAACACCCCACAGCAAAATTACGAAAGCCTGGGGCAAAGTTGTTATTCCAAAGCAATATGCTTATTATGACACTCTTTGGGTCAGAGGATATTTTGTGTCACATTTCATCCTAATTGGCCCAGTAGTTTTGCGCAATGGAATGACAAACATAACCAATTTTCATGATAACAAAGGAAAAATAATTGAAGAGCCAAAATATAATCCCAAAGAAGAAACAACATAGGAATAAATATTAGTATATACATTGTGTAAATTAAGTATCAAAACAAAAATGTATTTTTTAAATAGAAATATTCTGTTTTGGGCATAGATTGGTAACAAAGGTTCCGTAATTTTGAACACCAAAAAAATATTTTAACGGGGGTTTAGGTATTTAGGGGGCTAACATGGTAGGGGGTAGGGGGCGACTATTTTGTTCAAATAGCGTTATTGATTGACCCCTCATTTTGAAGGGTTCAAAAGAAACACAATGACGCAAACCCGAGGTGAATATTGGAATAAAATGGCGAGTATTCCAAAAAAGTGCTTTTTCACATAAACCAAATTTTGGAATACCCGCCATTTTGGCTAGGGGTGAGATATCCTTCTCGGTTTTACATCATTGTGTTTCTTTAGACAAACCCTTCAAAATGAGGGGTCACTCAACAGGGCTATTTGAAAAAATAAGTCACCCCCTACCCCTTACCCTGTTAGTGGGGTTAAACAATTTTTTTATGTAAAACATTTCGGAACCTTTGTTAACAATCAATGCAACAAACAGAATATTTCTAACTATTTCGGTTTAAAAAATACAGGTTTGTTTCGATACTTATTTACACACTGTATAAGTCTATATTATATTATGACAAAGAAGAAATCAGCGAGTGATAAAAAGATCGGGAATTCTAGGTGCAATCTACTTCAACATCTACTCTTGCCTGGAACTGTTAGCCGAATAATGCCAGCTACAAAAACCAACAAATATATTCCAAAAACTGTAAAACAGTAACAGGTTGTTATTTTTACTAGGAAAGTGCCAGTTATGTTTGAAAGGTGTGAAATTTTAAAATTTTACTGTTGCTTCTTTTGCTGACATGCTTGTCCATGTTGTTTTCATGAATGAACATTATTTCGTTTTCTCAACTGTACTGTACATGTACTGTACTGTATATCAATACCCCCGCCACAGCAAACCTGCAGACTAAGCGAATTTCTATCCAGCTGGCTGGATTTCTATTGTAAAAATTCCCCTAATATTGTCATATTTTTTTCTAATTTAAATAATATTAATTTTAATGAGTACTTATGTTTTCTGCTACATGAAAGGTATTGTGGAGTGTTTTTTTTTATTTATTTAAACGTTAATAGTATGAAATAAACAAAATTGCCAAATTTGATTAAAATATATCCATAAACAAGGAAAGTACAACAGTTTATTTATTTTCAATATAAATAACATGGGAATTTAAAATTAAAATTTTTTAAAATTATTTCCATAGCATACAACCTCGCTTCAATATACAAAAGTATTTCGTTTTTAAGGTCTACAAAATTATTTGGAAAAAATTGTGAAATTTTATGTTTTTAGAGTAAAAAATGGGAAAAAACAATTTTTACCCCATTACCATAGTAACCCCTGTTACCATAGTCCGATCATGCTGGTTCGCAAACATGTAGTTTTACACGTTTGAACCAAATTTCATCAAAATAGGATAATAATTTTTGCTCAAGTTATCGTGCTAACGGACACACATATATAAATAAATAAATAAAAATATATATATATATATATATATAAACTTTATTATTTTCTTTGATCTGTACTCAATCATATGTTCTCAAAATTCAACTATTTGTAAACAGTTCATATTTATTTGTTTTGTTCATCTTTACATTTTTCATTAATTTCTCTTTGCTTGAAAACGTTTGTATTAAACAAAAATTTGCAATGTTTCATGTTTCATTCATCATAAACTCTATCAAGATCACCTCAAGAATATATATATATATACATATATACATAAATAAATCTATATACATATATATTTAAATTTGAGCGGAGGGTGTTTTTGGCCTCTGGGGACCTCAAAACGAAAAGGTAAATCGGTCAGTAATTAGGTCTTACCATGAGACCTACTTCAATGGTCTCAAAAGCTTATTCCCATTCTGTAAAATAACCTGTGATAAAAATGTATACTATATGATTTACATACAGAAGATATTTTAACACTCTTGAAGATTTCATTAAGCGTGCAAGCTTGGTGTTTGGCCTTGTTTGTTTTCCCTACATTACATACAGTAGGCTATAAGCAAATTTTTAATTAGGCTATGTTATTTAGAAAAAAGTAAAAAAGAGCTGAAGCTGAGAACTGAGTTGTTACGTTAATAAATAAGGTTATAATAACTTAATATGAAAATTTTAACTTGATAAGAGTAATTAAATCAAATCAAAATGCCTTTATTCTTGAGCGCTTCTCAATACAATATTGGTTTACAGAATAACTCACATCAGGTCACTAAAACTAAATATTTACAAGTCATATCAATAAACAAATTATGTACAAGAATAAACATGCAACAAAAAATTACATGCCTGCTTTACAATGCATTTTAACCTTTTTTTGAAAGCTAAGGCCAAAGGCTTTTAAACTGGTAGGTGATGTCGTTGTAAATGGTTGGGCCAAAATATGAGAAACCCCTCCTCCCTTTTTCCAAATTAACTTGTGGAGGAGGAAAGTGGAGGAGGGTGTCCTGCCTAGTGCCCCGTCGAGCAATTGCTCCACGTGTCACAAGTTTCTCCATCAGGTATTTTGGTTCTCTGTGAGATAATACTCGATGGATGAGACAACAAGTTTGCACTCTGCATACAGCATCGGCTGGCAACAGACCAGGAAAGAGGATATGTGTTCCCGCTTATGAAGTCCGTAGACAAAACAAACTGCGGTGCTTTGCAGCCTATTAAGTCGGTTCATATCCTCCCGGGAAATACTGTTGCCGCATGCAGGAACGCATCACTGACAATACCAGAGACTGAACCAACTTCAATTTTGCAGTCTCTGGAAGAATCAAACGGAATCTGTACAGTCCTCGCAGCCTTCCCAAAACAATTTGAGAAACGTAAGTGATGTGGTTGGAGAAGGTAAGACCACCGTCAAGAACCACGCCCAAAGTCCTGAGAGTGTCACAAACTTTTCATTGTAAAGTTGAATATGCACGTCACCGTCACAGATTTTTTGAATTACGATGGGTGGTGATCCAATGTGGATCACTGCATTTTTCAACATTCAACTTAAGGCTGTGCTTCCTTGACCATTCACTTATTCTCTCGAGATCCATGTTTGCATCCTCCAGGGCGCTGTTGAATGAGCCGACTGGGTAGGAAAAATGCAACTAAAACATTACAGGCAAGGTTGGCCGTGTAGAGCGTAAACAAGCGTAGCTGCGGGACTCCCCTATGCTTTTTAAGGGGAGGCTGGTTACCTGGGATCTTTTTCCCAAGTACGACCTTAGCCAGCTAATTTCCACATCCCCAAATCCAAAGTATCTCAATTTGCTGAGTAGCAAACCATGGCTGATGCGAGTCAAAGGCCTGCGAATAATCAAGCATGATCAAAGAGCTACACCGGCCGCTGTCTCTCGCCAAACAGGTTTATCAATCCAGTGTTGGTACTATGATTTTTTCTAAACCCACATTGAAATTTAGGCAATAAATCTTCTTCATCAATGAAATTGGTGATTTGTTGAACAATTATCTTTTTGAATACTTTTGACAGAGCTGGCAGGACTGAAATTGGCCTAAGTTTATTCAAATTAGAAGGATTCTCCTTCTTAGGCAATGTATGGACGATACTTTGTTTCCAGGTTCTAGGGAAAATTCCTGTAGCTAAAGATGTCTTTATTAATGTGTTAGGGCCCCAATAGCAAATGGACTAATGGTTTTTAACATTAAAATACTTATTTTAACTATTCCCACAGCTCTGGAAGTTATCTCATTCATAGCGGATTTTACTTCATATTCTGACACAGCTTTAAATTTTTATACATTTTTATTGTCATTATGGGACGTCTTTCTGTACGTATTCATTATATCTTTGTCTACATTATAAAATGATCCCATTTTTACAAACTATTCATTCATATGCACTGACATTAAAATCTTTAAGAATCGTATTATTGCTCTCTTTACCCGAAATATAATTTTGTTTAAGGCATTTCCAGAACTCTTTGGAGTCTATACAGTCAGACAATTATTTATCTATATAAAAGCTTTTTTAGCATGCCATATAGCACCAATCAATTGATTTCTAATTTTCTTATACTCCGTCCAATCATATTCATGTCTTGTACTCAAATACTTTTTATTCAACTTATTTTTTTAAATGTTTTAATTATATTACTTTCTCATTTCTCCATGCTGCTTTTTTCCTAGTCATTCTCTTTGTAACAAGGGGTGCTTGAGTATCATAAATTCTCCTCACATTTGATGTTATGAAAAAGTTCATATCATTAACACCAGTCATTTCAGAAACTTGTCAATACCTCACTTTCTTAAACACTTTTTGCACTGAAAGTGACTTTTAAGATCAATTGATGATAAACGGCTTGCATGCGCACATGTGTCTTCCAGCTACGAGACCAAATGCATACCCATTGCTATGTTTGTGAACTATTATTGTTCTGAAAACCTTTGCATCCTGGTTACCAAATTCTATGAAATTTTGTTTAAATCGTAGAAACAAGGATGAAATTGTAAGTTTGTTTCCTTTAGAGCTAACCATTGGAGACTATAGAGACTTAAATAGATTATGTCAAATTGACTTAAGTCATAAATTAAAAAAAAAAAAAAAAAAAAAAACCTTTACACAACAATTAAAATATGGTTTGTAATTTGTAGGCAATTTTCTAGAGTGACCCATGTATTACCTTGCCACGTGTCTCGAAGTAGCAAGTTTCTAATGTCACTGTCAGACAGAGTGTCACTATCAATGTGATAACCAGGAGAAGGACCAGGAGAGGAGGTGGTAGGGTCTGGAAACAATCAATTGTTTGAAATAAGGATACCAACTAAACTTGCACAAACCAAAATGCAGATTCTGGTTTTATAAATGTACAACCATTATGCATTACATTGCTGAATAGTAGATTTTTTTGTTGAATATTTTCCTTGCAGCTATTTATTTATTGTTTGAAATTAGTATTATAAGTAAATATAAACTCTACATAGTTCTTACAAGTTAACTTAAAAACACTATTTTTGAAAACTTAATTAAATGTTGTAGTAATTTTTGGTTTTTCTACTGCATTTATCAAAACATTAATTTCAAAATTTTAAATATCTGAAGTGTAAATGCTCTATTTAAGCAGCATATTAATATTTGAAAATAACTTTCATAACAGTGTGCTTTTCATTAGGAGGAGGGAAGGTTTCAACCTATGTCTGAGTTGATTAAATGTTGATGTATTTCTTGACAAAACACACATACTACATCATTGTATCATTTTCACTTGCTACATTTTCAACAGTTGATGTTAGTTGCCTGTTCTGTGATAGAAAGAACAGGTCCGAGTCCGACTGGTCACACCATGAACGTAGGGCTGGTTGCAACTGACATCACATACTAAGTAACTTACATACCATTCCTATCAGAAGCCTCTGTGATAGGACAACCAACAACCTCGGTTGCTGGTAAAGAGACTGGAGCAAAAATATCATTTATGTCAAGTGGCAGGATGTCTGTTAGTCTGGACAAAACTACAAAACCGTCTATCTATAATAATGATTGTAAATGTAGATTCATCTGAGTCTAATGAATGAAATACTGCCCTTACAGTGCTAACTATAACTAACTACTCTACACTTTTTTATAATGAGAATTACTTTAAAATTATAACAGAACTATAACTAAGAAGCAGTAAGTAAACAAAATGCTAATTATTAGGAGATGGGTATATTTTCTTTTGTTTTAATTTAGTTATCATAGTCAATAAAAAAATCAAAACTCTACAATAACTTTAAATCTATAAAAATGCAACATTAACTAGACCTGATAAAGCTTCTTGTCTGTTATTAAACTTAAACATTTTAAGTTATAGTGTATTATAGTTTAACAACAGTTTCTTTGGTGAACTTTCAGTATCTGTTGGCATTAGCTTACCAGAAAGTCGACATTTGTTTGTTAATTTCATCAAGTTTAATAAATAATTATTAGTAATATTTATACCAAGGAAAGTTATCCAGCAAAATTCAAATTTAAAAGTGTGTTTATACTAAATTATACAACTTTTTTGAGCATGCAATGACTAGTAGTTGTATGTAATATATTCTCACGTTATATGTATTTGACATTATTAAGATTCGATCTTATATAATTCGATAACTACTGTATTTGATTACTGAAATTTATTAACTGAGCCAATTATGCCTGAAATTAAAAGCCCGGGACCTAGATTCTTATACAAGTTATTGCATGGTTCCACGTGACATCATTATATTCTTACTTCATATATTAAATAAATTACTTAATTTAAACGTTGTTTCCAAAATTGTATCATTATTAATATTTGATTACTTGGATCTAGTAAGATAATTCTAAATTGAATTAAGTAAAAATTAAAATTGAAGCGTTTGGACAAAAAATCAAAAATTGTGAAATTCTAAGAATGTTCAGCATAAAAGTCATCTTGGTTAAAAAGTTAGAAGTCATTCATTTACAAATTTATGAACCATTAGAAACTTAGTTTTAAACTCAATACCATTGTAAAGCTGCATTTTTCTGTGAAGACAAAGGAGAATGTCATGCAATAAATTTTATATGATTAGTATTGTTGTTACTGATTGTTATATTTCTAATAGTATTTAAGTTGGTCAGTCAGAAATATATTCTTAACCCTCCGAGTGTCACGCGTCATAAAAACGACGCACAACACACTTTGTGTAGGGTCACGCGTCGCTTTTAAGACGCACAAACATCGTTTACGGCGAAGGCTCTATGACTGACTGAATCGGATTGAACTGGATCGAGTTAGGTATCGTTCTTTCCGTAATATTCTAAGCTTTCTCCAGAGGTCTGTCTCTAAGCGCTATTCATTTTAGTTCCGAAAATATTGTAGCAGACAGCTGACGTGCGTGTATTTGTAAACAGCTAGGTTCCCCCGGACCGATGACTGATGTGTTTTATTACGTTTATCATTGTTTTAGTGTTAAAAATCAAAAGTAGTGATATACGTGGTGCATTATAAGAAGATTTAAGTGGTTTTGAAGTGCTGGTTGATGATCCTGAAGAAGTAGGTAGTGATATTGATGTAAATTATCAGCCAGATTCCTAGCTATAGTTAGGCTATGCATTCTTAGCTAAACGCTATGTACTGAAATCCGTTTTTTGCTCATAACTTATTTATTTGATAACTTACCTCGCTATATGATTATATATTTGTAATCCTCATTAAATTTAGAACAAAGTGGCTATTTTCAAATATTTATAGGCCTATAATTTATACAATTTCATTGAGCACGAACTTATTTTTTTTTTGAAAATTTTCGAAATTATATTTTTTTTTTACCTAAACATTTTTTTTTTTTTAAAATGTTCCTTATGTTTTATATATAATATTGAAGCCCATGATTTTCCAAACAAAATGGTATATAGAACATTAGAATTAACATTGTTTTAAGCTTCTCAGATCCGTTTTAATAAAACCTTGCAAAGGGGCCAAAAATAGGTGGACATTAAGGCCTAAACTATGGACACTCGGAGGGTTAATAAAGGTATCAGTAGAAAACTAATTTCCAGGTTAAAATATTGAAATAGAAGTTAACTCATTAGTGACAAGCAGGATGTATAAAGCAACATCCATTTGAAAAATGGATTAAAATTGTTTAAAACTAAGTAAAACAACCAATTCAACACTCATTAAGTTTTAGAGTTACTATTATTATTAAGCCATAGTAACCAAAATCTATTTCAATTTGCTTGTCCGCATCTATTGTGTTTTTATTATTTGTATATAGACAGTTTCAAACAAAGCAGGGAGTGAAGGAATTAAGTTCAGGTTTTACAAAAGCCTTTTGGCTAATAGTTCATCAATAAAAATAATTAAAAAAGCCCATGTTAATTGCCACATTAAAAGTAAGAGCCCCACCCACATAGCAAGAGTAGAAGAAAATTAAAAATGTCCACATAAAATCTTTATTATCGATCATTAAGGTTTGGTATGAAAAAATTTCCAATTACTACTAGCAGCCAGCGTCACTTCATGACTTCAAAATCTGTGATACAGTGGAGCCCTGATAATCCGAAACCAAAAAATACTAAAAAAAATTAAAAAAAAATAATATTTAAAAAAATTTAAAATTAAATTTTGTATTAATTTTTTTTTAACACAAATAGCTGTGTACCTTGTCAAAGTATTCTATATTGGCCGGGCAAGATAGACTTTTTTTGTAGAGTTACCTATTTTAGTAAATATTTCACCATTTTTGTTATTAACATTTTTCATTTTCGTCCCAGGTTCCAATCCCGCCAAAACACAAATGGTATTAAGTGATAATGCTGCAGCCACTAGGTCTAGCCTTAAGTAATGTGAAAAACAATCCCGTGCTCATGCCTAGTGTCCTAAGACAAAAAAATATTTTAAAAAAAAATAAAAAAACTATATTTTTTTTATTTAAAAATTTTCAAAAAATTAAAAAAAACCAAAAACACTTTTAATCCGAAGGGCCCCAACCATTTCGGACTGATGGGACTCTACCGTATTTGAATTAATTTACAATTTTCTATTGCTCTGAGTTAAGTTGATAATTATATATTTTTTACGCGATAATCATTAACTGACTTTAACTCCAATTTTTTTCAAGGAAACCCTGAAGATAACTTTATAATTAGTTTTTCCGAATGCTAATGAATCATACTATGAAAACACAAAATTTAACGCAAGTCATTTTCTTCGTTACATTTTAAACAAATAACATTACAGTATTTTACTTGAATTCACTAAAACATCAATAAAACATACTATGAAAACATAAAATCCTATGAAAACACAAAATCTAATACAAGTCATTTTCTTCTTTACATATTATACGAATAACATTACAATATTTTACTTGAATACACTAAAACATCATCAACTGTAATAATAACCCAATTTTTGTATGGATGTAAACAAAATTGTATCATGACCATCTTTTGATGTAAAAATAAACGCTATCATCAACCTGACACATACTTTCTCCCATTACCTTTTCAACAACCTAAATAAGAGGTAAGCGATAAGAGTAAATAACTATGGTAAAATCACAAAAGTTGCATTAACTTTTGAACCGTAATTTTTACAGGAATGGGTGGGTTGTACTATTTTGTTTAGAATTATAAGGTCCATAACAGACAAATTTCAACCAGAATCGTTTTTTTCAAAATCCATTTTCCCATTTTTTGTGGTTTTTTTAAATAGCATAATTTACAATAACTTTTTAACCGTACTTTTTACAAGAATGGGAGTTCTACCATTTTGTCCAGAATTTAAAGGGCTACAACATATTAAATTTTTATCAAAATCATTCTGGCCATTCTTTAGAAAATCAGATTTTTTCATTACTTTATGGATAGACCATTAAAATAAAAATAAAAAATACTCATGGAGATACCATAGAGTTAGTACATACATACCAAATTTCATTAAAATTGGACCACAGGTGTAGTCTGTAGCTCTGTACTCATCCACACATACACAAACATACACAGACATCACTTCGAAAACCACTTTTATGGGTCCAGTCTAGAGGGACCCAAAACAGATATAACCACTGAAAACTCAAACTCAAAAATTTTGACAAAAACATTACTTTCTCCATATGTCGGGGGAGAAAGTAAAATGTAAACTTGAAAAAGCTCAGATGATTATTAACAGAATTCAGCACAAACTCTGAAATTTAAAGCCTATAGGATGAAGGTCTTTCACGGGATATCATCGAAACCTGCAAAAGGCACATCTAGAGGATATTGATACCCAATATGCCTATAAAAATCAATATTTAGGGCTCTGATTTGCTGAATACCTCCAAAAAAATTATTTTAATAATATAGATACCTAAGAAGGTGGTTTGTGTTTTATAGACAAGAAAGGTAAACTGTTATAGAAAAATTTATTGGTTGCTCTCAATCTCAACTCGAAAACCACAAACAGTAATGATCTAGTGTGTCTTGGGTGACGAAACATTTTTAAAGTTATTGGACTTGGCTTCTTGTCTTGTGAAAAGATTCTTATTACTAAATCCTGCTACTTCTAGTTCTGCATTTCACAATCCAAAACAAAAATGTTTTTACCATTTTGTTATGCCTAGCATGTTTATTAAATAACCCCACGGCAAACTTCAGACTAAGCAAATTTAAATTTGCCTAATTTGATTTTCACTTAAATCTATTAAAATAACATTAGGTTTAATGAGTACCTAGTTTTGCTACTACAGGGAGGGTAATAAAGTGTGTTTTTTAGTAAAATATTAATAGCTTAGTATAAAATAAACAAATTTGCCAAGCTCGATCAAAATATATCCATAAATAAGCAAACTACAACAGTTTACATACTCAATAAGAATATTATAGATATTTTAAGTTTAAAATATTTTGAGTTTTCTCCCAAACTAATAGCCGTACAAAAACACTTCAATATACTAAATAATTTGCTATTTTAAGCTCTTCAAAATAGTTGGATACAATCAAAATTAGAACATTTTATGTTTTGAGGGTCAAAAAACCCTTTTCCATGGTCCGATCATACTGTTTTGCGAACTCATTCAAATCCCACCCTACACCTTCAAGCCAAATTTAATTAAAATCTGAAAAAATCACTCAAGTTATCACGTTTACGGACACATATATATATACATATATAACGGTTTGAACGAATAGTTTTATTGGCCTCTAGGGATATCAAAATGAAAAAGTAAATCAGTCCTGGGCCTAGGTCTTACAGTGCCACCTACAGTGATAGCTACCTGGTACTACCCTATAGGGAAATTTGCAAAAAAAAATAATATACCCCATATCTGGACTAAAGATAGGTTAGTCTCTGAAGTTAAAAAGCTTAGTCAAAGTCAAGATTTCAACAATAAAAATGACTATATTTCCAACCGAAATAATTATATTGAGCATCCACAAAACCTGGCGTTATAAATATTATTTTAAAGCAACTTTAATACAAATAATATTAATTACTAAACAAGTACCAGAGTTGGTTTACCTGCAATGGTTTTTTTATCTTCATGTTGAATGTTCTTGTAGTAGTGAGGCGCCTTATTGTCAAAGGATCGGAGGAAGCGAGCTGTTAGAGGAGGAAAACTCTGGTGGGACATCTCCATGTAGCGCTCTCTGATGTGCAAGGCTTGAACCAACAGTCGTGAGGCCTGATGTAGATCTTCCAGAGGTACCTAGACACATCAAACATGTATAGTAACAATCACCTGTTAAAGGAGGGAATCTCTGGAGAGACATTTCCATGTAGCGCTCTCTGATGTGCAAGGCTTGAACCAACAGTCGTGAGGCCTGATGTAGATCTTCCAGAGGTACCTAGACACATCAAACATGTATAGTAACAATCACCTGTTAAAGGAGGGAATCTCTGGAGAGACATCTCCATGAAGCACTCTCTGATGTGCAAGGCTTGAACCAACAGTTGTAAGACCTGCTGTAGATCTTCCAGAGGTACCTAGACACATCAAACATGTATAGTAACAATCACCTGTTAAAGGAGGGAATCTCTGGAGAGACATTTCCATGTAGCACTTTCTGATGTGCAAGGCTTGAACCAACAGTCGTGAGGCCTGATGTAGATCTTCCAGAGGTACCTAGACACATCAAACATGTATAGTAACAATCACCTGTTAAAGGAGGGAATCTCTGGAGAGACATTTCCATGTAGCACTTTCTGATGTGCAAGGCTTGAACCAACAGTCGTGAGGCCTGATGTAGAACTTCCAGAGGTACCTAGACACATCAAACATGTATAGTAACAATCACCTGTTAAAGGAGGGAATCTCTGGAGAGACATTTCCATGTAGCACTTTCTGATGTGCAAGGCTTGAACCAACAGTTGTAAGACCTGCTGTAGATCTTCCAGAGGTATCTAGACACATCAAACATGTATAGTAACAATCACCTGTTAAAGGAGGGAATCTCTGGAGAGACATCTCCATGAAGCACTCTCTGATGTGCAAGGCTTGAACCAACAGTTGTAAGACCTGCTGTAGATCTTCCAGAGGTACCTAGACACATCAAACATGTATAGTAACAATCACCTGTTAAAGGAGGGAATCTCTGGAGAGACATTTCCATGTAGCACTTTCTGATGTGCAAGGCTTGAACCAACAGTTGTAAGACCTGCTGTAGATCTTCCAGAGGTACCTAGACACATCAAACATGTATAGTAACAATCACCTGTTAAAGGAGGGAATCTCTGGAGAGACATCTCCATGAAGCACTCTCTGATGTGCAAGGCTTGAACCAACAGTTGTAAGACCTGCTGTAGATCTTCCAGAGGTACCTAGACACATCAAACATGTATAGTAACAATCACCTGTTAAAGGAGGGAATCTCTGGAGAGACATTTCCATGTAGCACTTTCTGATGTGCAAGGCTTGAACCAACAGTTGTAAGACCTGCTGTAGATCTTCCAGAGGTACCTAGACACATCAAACATGTATAGTAACAATCACCTGTTAAAGGAGGGAATCTCTGGAGAGACATTTCCATGTAGCACTTTCTGATGTGTAAGGCTTGAACCAACAGTCGTGAGGCCTGATGTAGATCTTCCAGAGGTACCTAGACACATCAAACATGTATAGTAACAATCACCTGTTAAAGGAGGGAATCTCTGGAGAGACATCTCCATGTAGCACTTTCTGATGTGCAAGGCTTGAACCAACAGTCGTGAGGCCTGATGTAGATCTTCCAGAGGTACCTAGACACATCAAACATGTATAGTAACAATCACCTGTTAAAGGAGGGAATCTCTGGAGAGACATTTCCATGTAGCACTTTCTGATGTGCAAGGCTTGAACCAACAGTTGTAAGACCTGCTGTAGATCTTCCAGAGGTACCTAGACACATCAAACATGTATAGTAACAATCACCTGTTAAAGGAGGGAATCTCTGGAGAGACATTTCCATGTAGCACTTTCTGATGTGCAAGGCTTGAACCAACAGTCGTGAGGCCTGATGTAGATCTTCCAGAGGTACCTAGACACATCAAACATGTATAGTAACAATCACCTGTTAAAGGAGGGAATCTCTGGAGAGACATCTCCATGAAGCACTCTCTGATATGCAAGGTTTGAACCAACAGTTGTAAGACCTGCTGTAGATCTTCCAGAGGTACCTAGACACATAAAACATGTATAGTAACAATCACCTGTTAAAGGAGGGAATCTCTGGAGAGACATCTCCATGAAGCACTCTCTGATATGCAAGGTTTGAACCAACAGTTGTAAGACCTGCTGTAGATCTTCCAGAGGTACCTAGACACATAAAACATGTATAGTAACAATCACCTGTTAAAGGAGGGAATCTCTGGAGAGACATTTCCATGTAGCACTTTCTGATGTGCAAGGCTTGAACCAACAGTTGTAAGACCTGCTGTAGATCTTCCAGAGGTACCTAGACACATCAAACATGTATAGTAACAATCACCTGTTAAAGGAGGGAATCTCTGGAGAGACATTTCCATGTAGCACTTTCTGATGTGCAAGGCTTGAACCAACAGTCGTGAGGCCTGATGTAGATCTTCCAGAGGTACCTAGACACATCAAACATGTATAGTAACAATCACCTGTTAAAGGAGGGAATCTCTGGAGAGACATCTCCATGAAGCACTCTCTGATATGCAAGGTTTGAACCAACAGTTGTAAGACCTGCTGTAGATCTTCCAGAGGTACCTAGACACATCAAACATGAATAGTAACAATCACCTGTTAAAGGAGGGAATCTCTGGAGAGACATTTCCATGTAGCACTTTCTGATGTGCAAGGCTTGAACCAACAGTTGTAAGGGATGTATATCTTCCACTAACTCAAGTGTATTTTTTTTATTAAATAAATCCTATATTTTAATAGGCAAGTATGTTTCTTGAAAACCTGTTTTTAAGCTCATGAGCACCGCACGGAAAATCTACTCATACTGTTTAGAAAGATATTTTCACCACACTATGATGTTTTAGTTGTTTTACAATAGTTATTTGTGTACCTAGTGGGCGAAGTGTGGTGCAAAATAGTGTTCATGCCACGAGCAGAAAGATTTTTACAGCTCTTGATCGTTTTAAGTTCTTGACATTGTCTCGAACTTAATGATCTCGAGCCAGCAAAACCTCATTTTCGGCCCTATGTACAAAATATACTATTCCTGTGGATGTGCAGAATCCCTTTATAAATTAAAATAGGCTAAAAAATAAACTCAAAAAATGATTTAAAAAATTATAAAAAAGATTAAGACCTGATTGCTTGTAAAAAAAATTAAGATTATAAGTTGCCATTCTTGTGACAAAATAACAACAAAATATATGACAGAAAATCAAAACAAATGGAATAAATTCCAATCGCATGATTTATTTACAGTGTGGGGTGAAAATAGAGAAGTCAGTGTTAGTGATGTAGAAAGATAGTGTAAGAAGACTGCTCAGGCAAAAAAAAGGTAATACGTACATAATATTAAATTATACCTCATTGTCAACCATCACTTTACTCACCCCACTGGTGTCCTCTCCACTGATGTACACTCGCTGGTAGTGAGGGACAAAGTCATGTTCATCCAGTTTGAAAATGCGGTCATTCTCGTCTGCTACTGTGCCGACAATAGAGGGCTCATAATGACTGCGCTTATCATCTTCTTTTACTACCCTGAAATTAAATAAACAGGTTACATATTATAAACTAGCAGAGTACCCGTCCTTCGTCCGGGGTTGATGTATGTTTAAATGGTGCTTTTTGAAATCTTAAATGAAAAACAGTGTAAAATAAGATTCAATTCCAATAAATGTACATATCAAAAACTTTTATCTTACTAATTACATAAAAAAACATTTTCAAACAATAAAACAAATAAAAAAACTCAAAGCTTTTAATTACTTTTAAATGATAAAATCAAACATAGACAAACAATAATTTACAACATCTGGTTAGTAAATATTACGATTTGAATAGACAATAGACAATATTTCTTTATTTACATAATTCATAGAGAATAGTAATGCGTCAACAAATTTTTTATGGTTAACTTAAAATTATTTACAACATTGTAGGGTTGAGGGGAAGATCCACTGGTGCTGTTTTTTTCAGGAATTCGGCTTCTGTGTAAAATGGTCTGTCCTGTAGCCATGATGTCAATTTGTTCTTGAAGTGTGGCAGTGTGTTGTGTCTTGAGCTGCTGATGTAGATGATTGTAATACAAAGCTCCTTTGTACGCTGGTTTCCTTTCAAATAGGCTAAGATGATGTGGTGGCAAGGCAAAGTTTGAGGCATGCCTTGTGTTGAATTGGTGTATGACCTGGTGTCTTGTTTGATGTGAGCTTATTGCGTGCAGGATTGTTTCACGTATGTATAGTGATATTACAGTGAGGATTTTGAATTGTTTGAAGTTTCCTCGGCAGCTTTCCTGATATTGTATGCCTGCCAGGCATCTGATCGCTCTTTTCTGTTGTTTGAGGACCCTTTCTATGTTTGTGCTGGCTGTTCCTCCCTCCCCATGTAGTTATGGCATACCTCAGGTGTGATTCAAAAAGGGCAAAGTAAGCTACTTTAGCCACATCCAGACCACTTATTTGCTTCATTCTGCGAATCACGTAGATGCCTGAAGAAAGCTTCATGCAAAGTTGATCTACATGTGGTTTCCAAGTTAATTTTGAATCAATCATAACACCTAGGTGCTTCGTTGTTTCTTTTAATTCTACTTGAGGCAGTGGTATTAGTTGTGTGTTCTTGTTTTTGGTCGCTGTTTTTTTTTTCATTTAGGACTTGATCATTTTCTGAGCAGTATTGTTTAGTTTGGTTGAAATAGGTGGTTGTGTTTCTTTCTAGCATTACTGCTTGTTTATCAGTAATTGTGAGGACTGTATCGTCTGCATACATGACTGTATGACAGTCACTTTGAAGCCAGTCTGGCATATCATTTGTGTGAAGGAGGAATAATACTGGGCCGAGCACAGAGCCTTGAGGCACCCCTCTTATTACATTAGCAATTTTGAGTGGACTTTTTGAGTGGTGTTGTTGTTGGTGTAGTTGATCTCAACAAGTTGTTTTCTATCTTTTAGATAGCTTTCAAACCAATCTGCTTCTTTTCCTGTTATGCCCAAGGTTCTTAGTTTTTGGAGTAGCTGGGCATGGTTTAGGCAGTCAAACAAACGCCTTGCTGAAGTCTAAAAATAGACTAGTGACCATGCAGCCCTCTTCCAGCTTGTCTATTATACAGGGTGTTAAAAATGTCTGGAACCAACATTATATCTGGTGAGTGGTTAAAGAAAAACAACTGATATTTTGTGTACGGATATACTATGGTTTTACCTATCTTTTGGTGCCTTATGAAATGTTTTACCACTTATAGGGAACGTCCTGTGGAGGATGCAGTAAAAAGTTTTAATGGAAGCCTATGGTAAATGATACATCATTTTAAAGGCCATTTATTTCTGAGTAAGGAGCCACAAGTTTCATCTCAAAAGGACCACCCTAGCAAAAATGGCGACTGTTTGAAATTTAAAAACCCACTTATAGGGAACGTCCTATGGAGGATGCAGTAAAAAGTTTTAATGGAAGCCTATGGTAAATGATACATCATTTTAAAGGCCATTTTTTTCTGAGTAAGGAGCCACAAGTTTCATCTCAAAAGGACCACCCTAGCAAAAATGGCGACTGTTTGAAGTTTTTGAAAATAGAAAGCTTAATTGGTATTTCTGTTAAAAATAAGTTTAGTAAAACAACACAAACAATTTAGTTAAATGTTTTTTTCAGCAAGTGTTTATTAAATGTACAGCAAGACAATTATGTTTTATAACTGTATTATTTGTTTTAAAATACTTTTTACATTAACACTTTTTACTGCATCCTTCACAGGACGTTCCATATGAGTGGGTTTTTAAATTTCAAACAGTCGCCATTTTTGCTAGGGTGGTCCTTTTGAGATGAAACTTGTGGCTCCTTACTCAGAAATAAATGGCCTTTAAAATGATGTATCATTTACCATAGGCTTCCATTAAAACTTTTTACTGCATCCTCCACAGGACGTTCCCTATAAGTGGTAAAACATTTCATAAGGCACCAAAAGATAGGTAAAACCATAGTATATCCGTACACAAAATATCATTTGTTTTTCTTTAACCACTCACCAGATATAATGTTGGTTCCAGACATTTTCAACACCCTGTATGTTCTATAAGTTGTATCAGGGCTGTTGCTGTTGATCTCTCTTTTAAAATCCATGCTGTTGGTTTGTAAGAAGGTTGTGGTGTTCAAGGTGGGTCAGTAGCCTCTAAAGAACAATTTTTTCTATTATTTTTGAGAATGTGGGAATGAGTGAGATTGGTCTGTAGCTTCCAGTCTCAGTTTCTGGTCCTTTTTTATACTTTGTGTTCTGTATGTAATTAGAACTAATAATAAATGTATTTGTAAAAGTACAATTTTAACCAACTTTATTCAACACAAATTAAAAACAAAGTGAAGAAGTAAACATTATAACCAGCTGGTGATAGTTATAAAATAAATAATCAATAAGTAAAGATAAGACATTTAGGATGTAACACTTCCCCTTCTTAAGTGAGCTTCATAAATTGAGTCTATCCACGGGTTTATGTGTCCTTTTTGAACGTCTCACTGTAATAGCGGGAGTTGGTGCCACTGGAACATCTGATATGTTGTGATCGTTGGCCTCTGGAACATCTGGTATGTTGTGATCATTTGTTATGTGGTTTTCGGTTGGTATGTTGTGATCATTTGTTGCGTGGTTTTCGGTTGGTTCCTCTCTGACTCCTCCAAAATGGACTCCTCCAAAATTTGTTGGTATGAATACTTGATTTTGCTCATTCCTTAATGAAAACAAACACAAGTTTCGCCCTGAACGTCTAATTTGGTCTTGATGACGTCTGCTTGTGCCACTGCTTGTGGATATTTCATAATTTCTTGGTCCTTCTTTTCTATTGATCTTTCCAAAGCCCCATTTGCAGAGAATATACTATGCCATTTTGACCCACACTTACCACTCATTCTAGCAACAGATGCTAGTCAATCTGGAATTTCGGCAATTCTTTCTCATGTGTTTCCGAATGGAAACGAAAGACCTGTTGCATTTGCTTCCAAAACACTATCACAAACACAAAAACAGTACAGTGTCATACAAAAAGAAGCCCTGGCAATTTATTTTGGAGTTAAACACTTTTACCAATACCTTTATGGACGTCATTTCACCCTAGTTACAGACCACAAACCCCTGGTATCAATATTTGGACCGAAAAATGGAATACCACTTATGGCCGCAACAAGACTACAACATTATGCTATATTCCTTCAGGCATTTTCATTTGACATAAAGTATAAATCAACCAAAGATAATGTTAATGCTGATGCACTTTCAAGACTACCTAAAAATGTTGAAGAAGCTGCTGTTATTGACTCAGCCGATGTTCATGAAATAGAACAAATCTATACTTTACCTGTCACAGCTGAAGAAATAGCAAAAAATACACAATCTGATCCAGATCTTAGAGATATTTATCAATCACTAATCAGAGGGGAGCCAATCCATCACCCGATGTCTTCTAACGAACAAGAATGGTCAATTCAGCTTGGATGCTTATTAAAAGGGAATCGTGTGGTGATTCCCAAACAACTTCGTCCAAGAATTTTGAAAGAACTTCATGAGGCTCATGTGGGTATAGTTCGCATGAAGGGACTAGCTCGTTCGTATGTTTGGTGGCCTAAAATTGATGCAGACATTGAGAATATGACCTTAAATTGTTTGGGATGTCAACGAGTACAACATGAAGCACCCAAAGCACCAGTTCACCACTGGGAATATCCTTCAAGGCCTATGCAAAGAGTTCATGTTGATTTTGCAGGACCATTTTATGGCCATTATTTTCTCCTAATTGTGGATGCCTACAGTAAATGGCCAGAGATTGTAACACTTACAACTATAAATTCACATAAAACCATTGAGGCTTTGCGGAAATTCTTTTGCTCTTTTGGAATCCCTGACATATTAGTGTCAGACAACGGAAGGCAATTTGTTTCGTTAGAGTTTGAAAAATTTCTTCAATCTAACGGAATTAGACACAAGAGATCAGCACCTTACCATCCTGCAACTAATGGCCAAGTAGAACGCTATGTACAAGACTTGAAAGATACTATCAGAGCCATGCACTTTGAGGAAGGCTCAATTGAGTTGAAATTACAGAGATATTTAATGGCCTATCGAAGAGCTCCACATAGTACTACAGGACAGTCTCCTTCACATCTCTTTATTGGACGTCAAATTCGATCAAGACTTGACTTATTGTATCCTGATTTGTCACAAAAAATGGACCAAAATTTTGACTCAAAATCATATTCTGACAGGCAAAATTAAGAGTTTGAACTAATTCAGCATAGGATTTAGTTATAGGTGATACAGGATGCAATATATCCCTAAGTTTACTGTAAGTGTCTGATCCAATACAGTGAAGTAACGTAATTTTCTTTTTGTCTTCCGAAATGTTGTTATAAATGAATGATATCTCTAGTCTTTCCATATACATTTCCCATGTTTCATATCTTTCATTAAAGGGTCCAATCAATGCTGAGTTAATCATTTGAATGTTTTGAGATGTATTTGAATTACTTGTACTCACCTCCATCGTCGCCAAATTGTTCTGTAT